ATTTGTCACCAGATTGACCTTGCACGTGATTGGTTGAATGCGAGGAAGGTTCACACACAGGCAATTTTGAATTTGAAGGTTAGGTTATTGACAATTCGACAGTTTCGTGTCATTATTGTAAATTTTGTGTTCTTAAACCCTTCTTTATTATATTTTGAAATAAATACACTCATAACTTCAATGTTAATTTGTATGTTTAGTGTTGACGATAACAAACGAAAATAAATACAATAATAAGTAAATAAATAAATAATAATAATTATTAATTTAAATTTACCGCCAAAATATCTAGTGATATTTTCTGGTGATTTTTCCTAGTGTAAATCTGACTTTCGCGTTTACTCCTCCTGGTTTAAAAACAGAGTATAGTAGCGCATGAATGTTTTACACTCGATGTTATTTTTGTCAAAATAAATAAATAAGTAGATGTTTATTACAAAATAAAGTTTAATTGTTTCTTTTGTGTCTAGCGCTACTTGATATTTGGACAAAAATAACATCGAGTGTAAAACATTCATGCGCTACTAGATTAAAAAGTGTGCTTTTTGATGGGGAAAGAAATGAATTTTTAAGAAAAACAAAATACTATCGTATAAAGAATGTTTTTAGGACCTCAATAATAAAAAAGAATTTTGGCATTCCATTAAAAAAAAAAAAGTTGACCATTTTGAAATAATTCTTCTAATTGAAAATGTGGCATCACCATCGTGTAGAGAATGACCCAAAACATATTACTGCCAAATATTTTGAAAGTAGTACCCATAGTGTGGCTAAAAAAAAATAAGGCGCTTACTCTGAATTATTACTGATTTAAATTTATTAAGATATTTACCTTTTTTTTTTTGAAGTTTTGTTAACTTATCGCTTGGACGTTACGGGCTAATATTTTCTTTCAGGTTATTATTATTTGTATTTTATTTTTGGTTTATTGAGTCAAAAGCGATAAGGTTTATAGAAATTGATTTCATAACATTACAATTCATTATTGAAGATCATTATTGGTAGAATATTAGTTATATTATTATTACTATTATTCTAATTAACAAACTTAATCAACTTTTGAGAACTTTTCAATATAGTTGTTTGAATTTATTATCTCAACATTACTTTTCTTTTGTGTATGTTAGTACTTGTTTCTTTTCCTTTGACATTGGATTCGGACTTGCTGGGTCAAAGGTTTGTATTGATAGGTTTCGGTTTAAGTTCGTGGCGCCCTTATTTAGATCAGAGAGCCCGATCCTATCAATTTGTGTCTTGTTTTGAATTTTCGGCGCTACAATATCGGGTGCCATTTAAAAAATTGATCGTGACCTTCATATAACCTTGAAAATAAGATCAAGGTCAAAATTTCCCCTTTCACACAGAACAACTTTCATTTGGTTCATTTTTATGTAAAATAAACCATTTTTGAGATAATTGCTTATCTCACGTTAAATGGATATAATATACAAGGTGGATATTTTTGTGTATCGCATCTTAAGTGAAATTCACTGTATTGGTAGAAATGAGAAATTATGAAAAAAATCTGTTAAATGAGAAATTTGAGTGGTTATTTGGAAAAACGTGTATGCCCCGCGGGGGCCTTGGGGCTAGTTGACAAATTGGCCGCTCGGTTGCAAGCCGAGCTAGAAACTCGCGGGCAATTATTCCGGCCGAACAATAATTCACTTAAGTTAATAACATTACAAACTGTTAAAACTTGGCCCGTAATTTTCGCAATTTAAAGCCAGCCGCATTATAAATAATAACGCGCGGGCCCCCGCGTGCATTATCGCCGGCGTGCGGACGCTTACGCTCGAACATAAATTCGCAACTTTAAGCATTAAGCCTGAGTATTAAAAATTTCATACTTTTTCCGCTGAGGCACCCCCATGCTATACCGCGATAATTCGACCTAATTCTTATCCAGAATTTGGAACATTTATTATAGTAAATTAAACCGTTGTTTAACTTAATAAAAAATAAATGTATTGAGTTATCAATAACATCAAAAAATAATAGAGGTTTCTCGTCGGTAAATTCTCAGAACTGTTCGTCGCAGTTCACAATTTGAATTTATGAATTCTCTTGGGTACACCGAAGCGCAAGGATCCTTCTAGTTATTTACCTTCGCGCTCGTTAGCGAATGCAACCGACGAAGTTACAACAACAATTTTATGTATTTGTGTCGCGTAAACTTTTCATACCGTCGAAAAATCAACGTGTCTCTTTGCAACTTTACCCATTACATAAAGGTTTCCGTCCTGTTAGCAAAGCTGGTTCACTGCCCTTTTCTACAAACGACGCGGATGAATTAATGAATAATATATACGGATACACTTAGCAAATAACTATACCGGAGCCAATCTCATGTCGTTCTAGTTTGTCTTTCTCTCGTTTGCTCTTCCTCTCTCTGCGTTTCGTTCCTCTGGTCCATTAGTAAATCACGACGGAGTCGACCCGTTTTGAGTGGATACGCCGCTTTCATTTCGCGATTGTCTCTGGGATGCCATGCATCATGTTTCGCCGACAGAATTACGTTGACAAAATCTAGACTATGATGGATTAAGCAAGTCCTGGCTGCGAGACCTATTGTTTGGTAAATGGATCCGCTAATTACGTTTCGAGTACATGGGACCAGCTAAAAGCTCTCGTCAAAATTTGGCTTCCAACAAAAGCCATTGATCCACATGTTCGATATGCATAAACAAAAAAAAAATTCTATCTGTCAACATAAAATAAATGTAAAAGTATGTCAAAAGTAACATGTAATCTGTTTAATAATAACCTTAGGCGATCTTTATGCGTATCCCCTTATTTATTTTGGTAAGTACCACTTAATTTTAATCAAACATGAATTGTGCTTATTAAGCCGTGTATTTCACGATGTATATTTTGATTCATAAAATGGCAATTTGGAAATATAAAACTCAAACCTATAATAGACCGGTAAAACTTTTGATGTAATCCTATTCAGTCGTCCGCATTGGTGTTTTTAATTTTCTCTCATATAACGCACGCACCGCGCCGGGTATACAACCGGGTATCAGCCATTAATTACTGCTTTTAATTAAAACGAGACGAGGGACGTTGAAAGCGACAATTCACAGAAATCCGACTGCGCCCCATCGGTCGGTTTTTTATTATTACCGGACCCGTTTTGTGCAATTGGCCGCGCGCAATTCAATCCAGGAATATAAAGCTTTGTGCTGGAATGAACTTTGTATGCCTTTTTTATTATTAAATATTTACACGAACAATTTTAGTTTTATTAAAATACGTTGATGATATTTTTGCCTTTACTTCTTCACTTATTTGTTGCAGGTAGTGACATTGATAACAATCAATGTGAAATCAAGTGATGTTCATTCGAAAAACGCTACTAAAAAATTTAAGAAGCCGTTAACGGAGAGGGAGTTAAGCCAATTTTTAAGTAACGAGTTTGAAAAGAAAGAAAGTGAATCGTGTTTTAAACAAGCTTCTGCAGAATGGGACCACCTAACGGATATTGATCATATACAAAAAGAACAAATAGCAGTACGTTCATAAACAATTTATTCGCATCCATTAGAAATGATGAATAGAAAAGAAAATGCGACAATCTTTTTTCCTCCTTCTTAACCTCATAACCATAACAGTTCCAATTAATATTGATGTCACCGGTAAGAGTGGAGAGACCACTTTAATAACGCTCTCCAAGCGTCAACGACACCCTTAAGAGGTCGTGGAGCTCGGCAATTATTTTTATCGCACCGCGAGAGCTGCGTGATAACGCTCTCGATTTAATTATAATTAGGTTCGGGGAACTCTGCAATTTCCTTAATAGCTACTGTTTCAGGTAGATGCGACAATAGAAGGTGCTAAACTTGACAAGAAGTATTGGAGCCGATATTTTCACAGAGCTGATCCCGCTAAATGCAAGGATTGCTCGTTGGCTAGGCAAGTCACTAAATTAGCCGTCCTCGGAAATTCCGCTTTAAACGAAAACGACTTGAGAACATTGACTGGGATCATCTCAAACATGACTAAAATTTACAGCACCGCTAAAGTAAAATCGTACGAAAAATGGAATTTCAATGGAGGTAAACGGATTCCAATTCCATTAGAACCCGATTTAATAAATATAATGGCAAAAACTCGCGACTACAAAGTATTAAAGTATTATTGGGTAGCGTGGAGAAACGCTACCGGTTCAAAATTAAAATCAATGTTTTACGATTACGTTCAATTATCTAATAAAGCGGCGAAAAATAATGATTTTCAAGATAAAGGCGCTATGTGGAGGTCCGATTTTGAAGACGAAAACTTTGTTGAAACCATGGAATCGCTTTGGAAAGAAGTTCGTCCGTTATACAACGAACTCCAAGAATACGTCCTCAACGAATTCAAAACGAAATACGCCGAATTTATGGACGAAAGCGACACTTTAATCCCCGCTCATCTTTTGGGGAATATGTGGGCACAAGATTGGGTCAATATCGCCCCTTACGTCATTCCATATCCCAAAGAAGAAAAATTAAACGTTACCAAACTACTTTTGGAAAAACATTATACCGTGATAAAAATGTTCCAAACCGCCGATAATTTTTATAAATCGCTCGGTTTAGAATCGAATTCGATGAGTTTCAATAAAAGTGAAGGTGCGATGATTGAAAAACCGCGTGATGGAAGAAACGTTTTATGTCATGCTTCGGCGTGGGATTTTTGTAATGGAAAGGATTTTAGAATCAAAATGTGCGCGGAAGTTAATTTTGAAAACTTTATGACAATCCATCACGAAATGGGTCATATAGAATATTATCAGTTATATAAACATCAACCTTATGCTTTTAGAAGTGGTGCTAATCCAGGTAAAATATTCTGCATTCAAATATTGCGAAATTAAGCCTTTATAGCCGAGGTTACATGAATTAAAACTAGAACTAGCACTAGACTTAGAATTAGAAAATTTCGAGTTTAGCCGTCCATTTTAATTTAATATACAGTATGTTCGTAAAGTAATGGTGCAATTTGACCACACATATAGTTTTTTTTTTCTATAATACCTGTCAAATTGTTGTAAGGTTGGCAACATTAACAGGGAGTTTTGTTTTATGATTTTTTGAAATAAATACGGGAAAGGTATCTAAGGAGTCAGAGAAAAGTACACCATGACTTTACGGACACACTATTAATATAAATTGATATTTCAAATTAGGTTTCCATGAAGCAATAGGTGATACAATCGCTCTTTCTGTAACCACATCAAAACATTTACATCGCATCGGCCTCTTAGATAAACTACATAATGATACCAAAACAGAATTAAACGATTTAATGTATTTGGCTTTAGAAAGAGTAGCTTTCCTTCCATACGGATATTTATTGGATAAATGGAGATGGGATGTTTTTGAAGGAACCGTAGATCCGGAATATTGGAATTCACATTATTGGAAGTATAGGTTAGTGATGAAAAAACATTTATATTTAAATAATTTAGAGTAGATTTGTATTATAGAGAAACAATACAGAAAGTATCACCTCCAGTGGATAGGAAAATTGAGACGGATTTCGATCCGGCAGCTAAATACCACATTGTTGCGGATTCTCAGTACATCTCTTACTTTTTTGCGCGAATCTTGGAGTTTCAACTTCACAAGGCACTGTGCGTTGCCGCCGGTGAATATGTCCCGGGAAATGTTTTGAAACCCCTCCATAAATGCGATATTTATCAATCCAAGAAAGCCGGAGAATTGCTGAGGTGAGATCCGTGAAATTGAGGTTAATCAGAATCGGTTTGGGCGTAAAGTTAATTTAGCCGGTCTTTAGTATTAATTTAAGTTTGTTTGTTTCTCTTCTTGGGGTCCTCTTGTTTCGGCTTGGCAGGCGGGGATTATCCTTGGGAGCTAGTGTCCACTGGACCGAGGTTTTAGAAAAGATTACAGGCACCAAGAAACTTTCCGGGGCCGCTATTCTCGAGTATTTCGATCCCCTGTACGAGTTCTTGGTCGAAAAGAACACCGAGTACGCGAACAGCCAGAGAAAGAAACGAAGTTGTTTTTGAAAAAGGAAGAAAAAAATATGATTTTGTAAAACATTTATACTTGTAATATAATTTTATTACACACTATAAATAGTATTATGGAAATTATTCTTTAAACGACCACATGAAATTTAATTCCAAAAGCGAATATTGTTTAAAATCCGATAATGAATAAGCGCCCCAACCCTACGTTTACTCGTTATTCAGCTTTGTTAATTATAAATGTACTCAGCGGAACAAAATTAATATAATACGATATGTAATTAAATCGAAACGAATGTTTTCCGATCTAGGTTATTTAGAGAGACGGAAAAACACGCGTCGATACGTTTCGTCCATCTGACGGATCGGATTTCTCGGTTCGGTCCAGGCGCCTCCGCTTCCGGAACAATTTAATAAAACGCTTAATTAAACCAGTTCAATTACCAGATCCGAACTCCCCTTTGCGTAATTTAACGGTCCACTAGCAAAAATATCAGTGCTATCCACGGACGATTGACTAGTCACGAAATGAACGGCGCATCAAGTTAATGTGATTAATGAGACAGAAAGGATTTAGGCAAGTTTAAAATACTTCAAAACACATCCTTTTTAGTAGTAGATTTATTTCGATGCCTACAATAAAACGGAATCTAAATTTACTTTAATCCTAATGGTTACGCCAGGATTTATTTGCGACTGGTTGATTTGTGGTTGATTGTGGTAAGATCAATTCAACACTGATTAATGAGAACTACACTTTACTTGATAAAGCCGAGGCGCCACAATATGATGATCAGATTCAGGGCGATGTAATCTTAATCACTAAGCCTCGGCCGCAAGCGAGCTCAGCTTAATGCGGCCTAGGCGCCATAATATGACAGCCAGTTTCAGATTGATATAATGTTAAAAGACACAAAATGAATAGGCTTGAAGTATTAATTGAAGCATAATAATATATTAAAAAACGAAAGCACGTATGTAGCAGTTGGTAACACCGTAACACTAGAACAAAGCACGGCGAGGTTAATTTTTACCTTACCCAATTCCTCACCGGCCATGGGTATTACAACAGATACCTACACATCATGGGGAAGGTTGACAGCGCGGCGTGCCGTTATTTAGACGGCGAAACTGATGATGCCGAACACACTTTCTTTCATTGTAAAAGATGGGCCAAAGTTAGAAACCGCCTGGCGATGGATATAGGACCCATCGACCCCGAGTCCATAGTCGTCCAAATGCTTGCTTCCGAGGATACGTGGAATAAGGTCACTAATTTTGTCATTGAAGTACTGACCAGAAAAAAGAAAGACATGGACGCCGACACTAGACTCTGAAAGAGAAGAAGAAGGAGGGGGGTGCTCCCTTGGGGCCGAAGAACCCCCCTCTCATCGCGGTGAGTTATAAGTAAACAAATAGTATTGTAAAAGTAACCCGGAAAATTTTTAATCTCATTCTTATCAACGGAGATGACCGATACGGCCGAAGCCATCCGCCAACAGCGCACACCTGGAAGAGAAGAAGACGGAGGGGGGCGCTCCCTTGGTGCCGAAGAACCCCCCTCCCATCGCGGTGAGTTATAATTAAACAAATAGTATCGTAAAAGTAACCCGGAAATTTATATTTTCATACTTACCACTGGAGTCGACTGATACGGTAGAAGCCAATCGCCAACAGCGTACACCCGGAAGAGAAGAAGATGGAGGGGGGCGCTCCCTTGGGGCAGAAGAACCCCCCTCCCACCGCGGTGAGTTATAACTAAACAAATAGTATTCTAGAAGTAACCCGGAAAATTTTTAATCTCATTCTTATCAACGGAGTCGACTGATACGGTAGAAGCCAATTGCCAACAGCGTACACCCGGAAGAGAAGAAGATGGAGGGGGGCGCTCCCTTGGGGCAGAAGAACCCCCCTCCCACCGCGGTGAGTTATAACCAGAGCCACGACGTTTCGGGCTGTTGATGTCACCATCTGTATAGAGCAGTGAACGGGTTATACCGTAGTAGTAACATGCTTCTATCGAGCAAATCGATGTGCCGCAACGTAACGATACTGATTGAATGCTGGCCCATGTAAAATTTGGGAGGCTTCTCTGCGGTGCAGCATTCAATACGTGTTTGGGCGATTGTCCGACTAAAACTCAACCAGTGGCGTGGTATACTATATGTGGCGTGATGTGGTCCATGTGGCCCGAGTCTCTACCGTAAGACGACGAGCAGCCAATGAGTTGCCCGACAACGTGGCGGCTCTGGTTATAACTAAACAAATAGTATTCTAAAAGTAATCGGAAATTTTTTTTTTCTCATTCTTATAACCGGAGACGATCGCAAGAGCGTACCCTTGTAAGGGAAGAACACAGAGCGAGCCACTATCCAACGCCTGAAGTTCCTCCGAAGAAATACCCTGACGGGTGGTACCGGAGAGGAGAGGGGGGGTTTTTACTAGGTATGCACAGAGAGTCCCAGACTCCCGGCCGAATTAAAGACCTTACGGACATCCGTAGGCGCCAACAGTAGGCCGGGGTGCATAAATGCATTTTCCCCTCCTCTGCGCAAAAAAAACACTTGAACATAGAAATTTAAATTGACAATTAGAAATTGTCAAAACACAAAATGTATTCACCTGAAAAAATGTTTCATGTACATCAATGTCACCAACTTGAACTGGTTTCATAAAGTGTTACTAAAATCTCATTACAGCATCGGATGCTGTAAGGAGTCTCATTACAACACCCGTTTGAGTACTGTAATAGCTTTCATTACCAAAAAAAGTTATTACGTAATCTGGACTTACTCCAGGGAATTATTTGTTTAGTTTCAGTACCAAAGATATTGTCCGGTTAAGAGTCAGAATGCGCAAATAGTATACATTTAGATGCAACCTACATAGATGACAAGTCGCATATTCAGCAAGCAGCGCAGTTATAACCAAACTACCGAGTTTAGTGACAAAACGACTCCAGTTCCGGCTTCGGTTAATCTTACGATAGCTCGCACGTACGGCAAGCACTCACAGTTAACAACGCGACGACAGACGTGTAGATTTGAGTTGGGACATTTCTGCTCGTGATGTTCTCTCCCTGTGGAGCCCTTTAGACTAGAACTGCGACGACCCTCGAACCCGGCGCCTTCACCGAAGGCCGCCACCGTACCAGTTTATCAGTGAAACGACCGAACAGGGCCGGGATTAGTGGTTTTTTCGGTCGGTGCAGCGACTTCTTTCCGCTCGGAGTTAATTAACGCTTCGGTGGAGCAAAATCTCTAATTGCCGGAGCAGTTTCTAAGAGGACGCCCCACAGGAGGACCGGGACTAATTGGAAACGTTTATTTAATCCCAGCCGTTTTGTGTATTTCGGAAATGCGCGACCGTGACCGGAAGTGCTCCGAACCGTCGGGAAGTCGACCGACACACGTAATTCCCGGCCAGGAGCGTTAATTAGTTATGAAATTCCGTCCATTAGCGCCGCATAATGGTTGGCGGTCGACGGCATCGTAATTAAAGGGATTATTTCAATTTGTAAGCTCGCTTCAATGAAGAAGACCCTTATAATTACTGCCAATTCACTACATAAATAATTAACATCAATGAATCATTAAAACTTTGCGTGAGATTAATTCGCAATATGGAAAACATTTTTTGGTTTAGTGTCATTTATTTCAATAAAGCCCCGGAAATCCCACCCTTCTGGGACAGTTTCAAAAAGTCCATTCGTCGCGCAATTTCGCGAGATGCCGGTCCGTAACCAGACCGTGAGAGTTTTAATGGCAGGAACGTCTCAGGTGTTCGAGCGCAGTCACAAATAAGGAGGGCTTTATTACCCGCCTTCTAGGTGCCATATGCCCCGGCTGTTATAAAGAAGTCTCGCCGTCGAAACTTATCCCAATTTGGGCGGTAATGCAAGACCCGCCACCGACCCCGTAAATCAACTCCTTAATTATAATTGAATTTTTCATGCCGATAAATTTTTAAGAGCAGCCTGCTGTAACCCTCGCTATTTTACTGTTCATTTTTTCTGAAAAACTTATTGCATCAGTTCATTTTAAGTGGTTTCGTTCCAATATGAAGACAACAAAAATTTTGCTGTGCACTTAACGAAAACCTGCGTTATCACTTATATAATTATAAAGATGAAAGGTTTCGTGTTTTCCCTAAAATCGATTACCTAGAACCTTAATATACTTCCAAGCCCTCTATAGGTACAACCTGGAAATCATATTATTACCGGTGAACGAACAGCTCCTGGAGGTTCGCCAGATGCACCTCGGCAACAAAGTTCGCGTAGTCATTAAATTAGTAGAGCCGCTTTTAACATCAGCCATGAGGGACGAGAGTGCAGATTTTACCTGTCTCTCCATTCTGGCATATCGACGAGGCACTTAACATCCATTTTCGCAGAAGCAATCCCGTACTTTCGACGGTCTTCTCTCGGATTCGTGAAAGGAGCGGATTCTCGTCGCGAAATATAAACCATTTTCTTCGAGTACGAATCGGCGAGACGGATCGGACGTGCGTCGCTTTAAAGAAGCAATTTTCGCGAGACCGTAAACGGGCCGAAGCTCGACAGACGCATTTATACGGCGATAATAGATTCACATGGAATATTTTCCACGCTTGGAAATCGCCTAGACTGCCAATAAAGTACATCGCGACAAGTTACCGTCGCGTGTGCTACCCGGTACACCGCTTGTACAATTTCCGATAGCGATCGTAAATTTACGAAAGAGTGTCATATCAGAGAGACTTGAAACGGCCCTTTCCGTTCTAAACCTATACGAAATAGCTGTATCGGTTTAGTTGAACATCGACCATTTCAAGTTATTGATGTACGTAATGCTCAAATAGAAATAAAATAATTTTGTTTGATGCTCGTAAGCCGAACATAACAAAATACTTCTTTGTTGAATGTTAGGGTTTTTACAAATACTTATATTTTATAACTTTTTACTTTTTCCTATATATAAAATATCTTCAGTTTATAAATTATTCGGGTGAAATAAGGTTATGGACAAAAAACCGAGTTTTATACATCTTCTTTTTGTTCGTGTAAATTTATCAAAGGCGACAGGTATAAATAATTTGTTAAAAATGTTCTATTTTTT